GTATCACCCGATCTACACGCATCCGCATTCATGCCTGATACTGTCCGAAATGTTCCTTGCACCTCGAGACACCCCATGCTACAGTACTGGATGTCTCCAGGACGGTGGGATCCTCTTGTTATTCGTGGCTTTGACACGATAACCGTACGAGAAGTCTTACAGCAGATATTCATGTATCTGCACACTCCATTGACTGAGGTGGAAGTCAATTGGATTTCCCGGACGCCTCCGAATCGGAATCGATTGGAACTGGCGAAGTTTCATAGAAATTTTGATGTTTTCGGATGGCAGCCGTTTGGTGGGACCTTTTTGAGGTCCGATTTGTTGGGTGGTCATAGACGGTTCTGTGGCCTGGAGATGGTGCTCGAACATGGCGAATGGAAACTTTGTGTAGACTTTACTGCTGGACCTATCCTTCGACTATGGGATACTACATGACGCCGTAACGATAGCTTCTTTGCTCTCACGGCGCTTCTCTAACGGCTTCTCACGCACTTTTATCTGCTGCGTCGCTGTTAATGTTCTAAGAGCAGCTGTGAAGTTAGTTTACACCGTCTGTGAACCGTGCAAGTTATCTCTCTTAAGCAAAGTATGCAATGACGGATGTTCCCTCTCTCTGTGGACCCTCGGTGAGCAGAATATTCTACACAGAGCCGAAGCATGATTGGTAAATGCCAGTCTCAGGGTTACGTTCGTCTGCTATAGGGTTGCCATATTCTGACAGGAACAACTTGACAGTTCGAGCTGGCGCTCAAAGTGAACATTATGATAAGGAAACAACTTCTATTTCTCAAGAAAAAAGAGCATTTGCTTGTACTACCGGATCCCTCATGAAATGGGGATCAGACCAACCACTAGTAGGAGTAAATGTAGCACTAAAACATGCATCATACACCCCAAATAGCTGCCCAATCCGTTGGTGCGCGATGCGGTGGCAGAATATAGCGCGAATCCGAATATGACCCTGAGATCGAAGTCGAACGTCAGACCAGAACTTCTCCGTAAACCACTCTTACCGCTATACACCACATCACCTCTATAGTAGTTCACCTCCACCTCCAGCCCTGCCCCATGTCCATTCAGTATCCTCATCACGTCCTGTGCTTGGGCGCCCACACGGGCAAAACGACTGACGCCTTTAATGCGTACTGCCATGTTCCTTATGTTCACGCCGCTGGAATCTAAGACAGCGGCGAGATCCTTCCATAGCTTGGTAGTGGCCTCGAATCTGTCATCGCAAAAAAGCGATGTGTGTAGGACGTCTATGGAGAGAGACGTCAACGCCAAAGGGGACGGCTGGGAGAGCGTCTGGATAAGCCAGTTCAGGCATTTTGGCACCCCCGCCTGGCTGCAGATGTACAGCGACCGGAGCTGGGAGACTGAGATCGATTTGAAGAGTGGGTCTGCAGAATGGGGGCGTGAGCGAGCGTAAAAGAGAATGTCGGTCATCACTGACCAGTCAAAGTGAAGGGCAGCCGAAGGTGCTCGAGTGGACCGCTTATGTGCATTAATAACTGTGTTGTAGATTGCATCATGGCGGTATCTGGGGTGGCTTTATATCGAAGACGACAAAAGAGAGACAGACTTTGGATGGCAGCTACATCGACGGGTGACGAAGGGGACAAGAAACAGTCAAGGATGGTACAGTAGGAAGAATGCGTGGTGTGGACTGTCAATGCGCACAGCTGCGGTTTAGATCGCATAGTTTGGACTTGGGATATGGTGGAGGCGTTCTCGATGCACACGTCCCCATCTAAGATAAGAACCCTCAGTGCCGGGAGTGTCCCGAGAAAGATAACAAAGCTGGAGACAGAAGGAAACAGAATATGAGATAACTCCAGATATGTCAGCTTCGGTGACTCTGAGAGGGCAATAATCGGTAGCTCCTCCCAGCTCTGCAATTTGTGGAATTTTATCGTCAAGGAAAAGAGCTTGGGCAAGAGGGTGTGTATGATCTCTCGGATGTCGCTCGAGTCTCGCGGCCATACTTCATCCTGGTACGCGCCGACATGCAGCTCTCTCACGAACGGTCCGAGATGAGGTGTCGATTTTAAAAGTGCCGCGAATGTGGCTAGTTTGCCAGGACGGGAAAAGTTTGTGCTGGGGACGCCTTGATACTCAACGTGATAAGAAAATTCATCTGTTGAGTAGAGACCCCCGGGGAAGGTGCAGAGCCCTTCAGGCTCGATGCGGACGTGGGAGAATAGGTGGGACTGAGCGAGGGGAGACCAGGATCGGCTAACCAGAGAGCATGAGCGTAGGGTAGAAACGTCGAGGTAACATTCACTGATAATTATATCAATGAGTTCAAGAGGTATGGGGATGCGTTTATCCATCTTTCAGATAAGTTGAATTTTCTAATGAACACGTTTCAAACGTGCAGTTACGAGACTTTTCTACACACGGTTTAACGCAACTCAAATCAACTAACAGGAGAGGTAAGGCTTACGGAGTTACTTCCCGAGAGAAGCCGTATTTTTACAAATCAAGTGTTTGTTCGAAAATTGAGGGGGACAACAGCGAGCCTGCGGCCGTCGAAAAGCCGTGCTGGTGGGCCCCGGTATGATCCAGCTTACTAGTAACTAGGGCCTTAAAGTTGTTGCCAAACACGTATCTACAACCGCTTTTCATAATTGCATGCTTCTTTTGGAAATATTAGCTGGGAACAAACGGGCTTCGGCCTGTCATTATTCAGCTGGATAAAAATCTGATGCAGGCCAAATAGGTGGATATTCTGATTCGACTGTATGGTTGACACTCTTTCAACGACTGTTGGTTCAAATTGATTGAAACACTGCACTGCGACTTGCCTCATGGATTCATGGAAGTCCCAGCTTTCGCAACCTTGGGCAAGCCGAAACATAACAGTGTAGAACGCACTTTCAAAGATGATGATGATCAGAAAACATCACGACGTTCCAATCTAACAGTTTGGATAGTGACCGCTGATACTCTGAGTCAGAGGGCCCGATGGCCGATCATCCTCCCAATATCCGGGCGCCCATGATGCCCTGGGAGGTTACGTTTCTGAGGGCTTCTCGGTGTAACAAGCGCCTCACACTCAACAACATCCTGCCATGTCTCCAAGAAACACGGTGCTGATCACAGGGTACGACGATTCAAATCACAAGCTGCTTTGGTTCATAATTTGGTTTAGGTGCAGTACAGGTATTGGAAACGCTCTTGCTCGAGAATTCCACAAACAAGGCAAGCTGGGGACTTTTTTCTGGGGCCATATTGCACACTGAAAAGGCTGGTGTCAGGTCTGGTTGTGTTTGCTACGGGTCGTAATGAAACTGCACTCTCGGAGCTCTCAAACTCTGGGATTCAGACATTTCCTCTTGATGTTACGAACGAAGAGCAGATTATCCGAATTCGCGACCAAGTAGCCGAAATTACTGGAGGTAAACTCGACATATTAGTCAATAATGCGTAAGCCCTCAGCTCCTTATAGTCTCCTTTCATTCATCGTAGTGAAGTGGTCAAAGTATGTCCGTTTCTCAAATCATATCCCTCTATCTCTATTCACATCTATTCCTCTAGCCTTCTTGTCGGCCGCGGCTGATCTCGATATGAAGCGAGTACAGGATCTCTACGACGTCAATGTATTCGGCGCAATGCGTATGGTCAAAGCATTCGCGCCCCTTCTCATTGCTTCGGGTGACGCCTGTATTCTTCAAGTCGGTAGCGTTGCCGGTGTAACACCATATCCCTTTGGTTCGACATACAGTTCCTCCAAAGCCGCTCTTCACGCATACGGGAACACGCTACGTATTGAATTGTCTCCTTTCAAGTACGTTTTCCTATGCTCTCAGATTAACCAATGCCCAAATGATTCTTCCTACCACAGTATCAAGGTTGTCAATGTGAGCGTTGCATATGAAAGTCGAATATGCGTCTGGAAATCAAACTATTACTCCTTCAGTTATGTACCGGCAGCGTGAAAAGCGATATCATCGAGACCAAGCTGAATCCGCTTCCCAGCGGCTCGCTGTACAAGTCCATTGAATCTATAGTCCTCGGAAAGCGAAAGGAGGTATCTCAAGGTGCCTATCCTTCGAATATTCACCGTTTATTCTCTTACATATTCCCTTCAGGAGGTGCCATGAGCTCTGAAGACTATGCCAAGAACGTGGTGCTAGAGGCTCTGAAAGCCAATCCTCGGGCATGGGTTTGGGAAGGAAGCAAGTCGTGGTTTGTATGGATGGTGGATACGTTCCTCCCTCGTACTGCTTTTGTGAGTGTCCGGAAAGCTGCACTCTATTTTTCCTCACGAAACAATCCTTCTAGGACAACATGATGAAGAGATGGTATGGCATGGACCATATCCGCTCTGGGCTCCAGACTTAGGTTCTTCGTACGAGTGCTGTCAATTGTTTCCCGTTGTCATCCTATCAAAAAAATGCTACTATCCCTTTGTACCGTTTGTCAGAAATTGAAACACGATCCGGTGCGATAATATTTCAGCAATGATACACCATGACACCCACCACTTTCCAAAACTCTGGGTAAAATTCCGCATCCTTACGGTAACGCGAAGGTGGAGGAGGAGACGTATCGCCGTATACAAGCTATACGATCTCGTAATGGCAGTCGACGACAACTTCTTGCGCCGGCACCATCTTATCAAAACCTTCCCAACTTGAACGAACAACGCTGAAAACACTGGTAGAAGGTGTAGCCCGGATATGTGGGATCTCTATATTTAACTGGTGCTGGGAGTACTGGGAGAATTCCGACTTGAAACTTACTGAGAACTGCAGCCAGGGATGGAAAATGGACGGTATAAACTTTGTTTGCATCAGGAGGAATTGTTTTCCCATGCTGGGCAGAAGGGACTGTAGGGAAAATCGGGTTTTGGAAGCATCCATGGATGGCCACCAAATTTGGGGTGGGTAGGGCGAGGCTTCACATATACCTTGTTCTCGTCCGTAGTGGATGTAGAAAAACAAACCTCGGCTTCGGGCAGCTCAACAAAAGCTCAACGGTGGCATATTGTGTCTCTGATAGTATATCGGTTAGTACACGCGCCTGTCATACGGTCTTCGTTGATCACTTACCGCGCGAAAGCTGGGTTCGACTCCCAGTCAGAGAGTCTTTAGCCTTTTTGTGTCTCCAGGAGTCCAACAGGCCGCAAAGGAGACAAGCGACTCCGGACCTCACAAGCAAAAGCCCCAGAGATGAACCTCTCTTCCCGTTCTACCAGCCAGCTGCCACTGTGGCACGAATTAAAGGCTGATTCAATAGTCACCAACGGAAGATAAGAGGACGTCTCCTACCGGGTTCTCTAACATGACGTCAAGATTTAAAAAAGGGGGGAAAGGACAAGTCTACGTACGTCAAAGGCAGTGGACATAGATATGCAATTCTAGTATAGGCTCTGGTGCGAGGATTGTCAGCCGAGCGCAATCCGTAATTCTTGGAAAGACTCACTAAGATTTTCTGTCAGCAACACAAGAATATTCGTCCAAAGGTGCCACTGAAAGTCCGTATCAAGGTCGGTCAGCCCGATATCGCGACCTACGGGGCAATATGCAAAGAAACTAAGGGACCGTAGGGAGAACCAAAATCTAGTAGCATCCATAGGTGATCACCGAACTTGGAGTGGACAAGGCGTGGCATAGCGCTTGATGTCGGGGTCCATGATAGACCAATAAAGGGGCGAAATGATTTTTTGCATAATATATTGGACTGTTGTGACTGAGGATCTCGCCACTGAAGAGAAGCAAAAGCGAAAAAGTAAACTTCGTAGGTGAAAAGACCGCAGGGAATCAGTTTGATGATCAGTCAAACGCAGGCTTGTGCGTGGATTCCGAATCATGAAGAAGAACGAGGTACTGTTAGATTTATAGGGTTCGATGAGGAGAACAGAACAGAATCAGTATCGAAGTTGATGGTGGCAGCCACCATCATATGACTACCCAGGGTCTATGCCATCCGTTGAAAATAGGCAGGCAATCGACGCCGCCATTCAAAATATCTCGCTTACCTGGCCCTTTCGAAAATCGTCGCAACTATGACTGTCCAATGCATTGACCTCAGCCACCCACTCGATCCATCCAGCATGTCCTTCTATCCCGGCGACCCACCCTATACCTGTTCTCCCCATGCGACCGTCCCAGAGCACGGCTACAGTGTCCAAGCCCTCTCTCTGTGTACACATACAGGCACCCACGTTGATGCTCCTTCCCACTTCTTCGTCCAAGCCAAGTCCATCGACCAGATCCCCCTCGCTTCCTTTATACGTCCCGCCATAGTCGTCGATGTCAGCCAAAAGGTCGTCCCTCGAGGTCGAATCACCTGGGAAGACCTCAGCCTGAGCCTCGGTGACAGATCGAATGTCATTATTCTCATCCGTACGGACTGGTGTAAACATTGGGGCAAACCCGAGTATGTCAACCATCCTTTCCTCGATGCAGATGCTGCTAGGCAACTCGTCGCTCGCGGCGTATCAGCAATCGGAATTGACACGCTGAGTCCCGACGAGACAGAAGGGGCGGCGAATGATTTTGGGGTACACCAGGCGATTCTTGGTGCTGGCGGACTCATCGTGGAGAACCTGAGGAATCTGGCAGCTATACCTGAAGGTGCATTCGTCAATTTTGTCCCTTTGAACCTGAATGGTGGAGATGGCTCACCCGTGCGAGCATTCGCGTATGTACCATAATTTTTTCGAATTGGTCTCGTTTAGACCACGTATCAATATCCAAACAACTTTGCTGTCACTGTCCAAGCAATCTTTCTGCCATCCTGTTACGCTAGACCTGAATCTTTGGAGTCTGTCGCGTCGCTGGCTTGCTTTGGCAACAACTCGGATGGGACTTGTTCGAGGCTTTTTCTCTCCTCTCTGTTGAAGCCAGTTCAAAGAAAGGAAATTATCGACGCACCTGGCAATCTTTTTACAACATGAATCGACAGAGATCATCCTTGGAATCATCTGGTCCCTTTGCGCGCTGATATCCTTAATATATGCGTCTGAAATAAGAACCTTACAGGACGGGCTTCCATGGCAACAAGGTACAGGAGAGGATGCTGCATTCACTGCAGGGTGGGACGTTCATCGAAGTTCAAATGGTGGTTGACTCGACCGCGAATTCCCACGACTGGCTACAAGAAACTGACGCATCATCCAGTCCTCTGAAAATCACTGTGTAAAAATGGACTTGGAATATCTTCTCCCAGTTCTCGAACATTACATATCGATAAACAGTACGCTGAATTAAAAACGAATGTAACATCCCTCGCTGTATCCCTTCATAGTCGACGCCTGCAGCGCATAACTGAAGCAGCCAATCGATGACAACAGCGCAATAGCAATCAGCTTCTTGACTCGCGATGAAAGATTCTGCACGGCATCAAGTACAAGGGACAAGCTAGACACCTACTAAATTACTGCGATCTGTAAAGTATCGCTCATTAAATATTACAGAAGCTAGTGTGCGCTCTAAGTAGGCAGATGTACCTATGATAGTCTGCATCTATATCCAAAAAGTCGGTAAATCGTCATGACCTCGCCTCAATGATAGCTATGGCATCAGCAACGTTCTCCTGGAAAGCCTCTGGCCCCAAAAGGTCCACAATCCCCGCTATAACAAACATCTTTTGCGGCCCAGGTCGTAGATGCGTCACAAATAGTCCTACACCCCGGGACTAGGATGACATCGCATTGAGTCACAAAAATGTATAAGCAATACAAATGACCCACCAGATATTCTTCAAATAGTTCATGGAACATCTCTACGGCACTGCGAGTAGGACATCAGAAGGGTTGCTTCGCCGTTCTAATGACAAACAAACTTACGAAGCATCGCAGGTCTCCACATCAGCCATGTGAAACACTAGCACTTGAGCCAATTGCCTCCTTGGCTCTTCCGAAGGGTGACTCTTATCTACTCCGTAAAGCTCCAGCCTTCTCAGCCGTTCTAATACACCAACCATCAGCTTTCGGCATTTTTGAAGTAAACAAGAAGAATGAATACCTTTCAATTGTGCCGTGTTCGCTGCAACCAGTCAATAATCAGTATTCGGATTCAACAGCACAAAATTGCACGGACCAAAATCGAGATTCTCCCGGATCCTGACGATCAACACCCCAGGAACATCTTCTTTCGCATCAGGATTCTCGCTAATAGGTTTCCACCTATCTGTGCGGGGCAGACGACCCTAATGAGACCGACAAGTCTTATCAGCTTCAATTCTGAGATTCTGCATCATACTTACGAGGATCGTCATACGAGTCTTGGATGACCGGTGTACAACGAGCAGAAGCGAGATGACCAGACTAACACCAACCCCCACCTCTACGTTCCACACTATCGACAGCACGAATGTGAGCGTCATCAATGCCAGGTCTACCCATGCCCGCATCCTTCATATCATCAGCGCTGTTGTCAACACGAAAGCCAAAAGCACGTACTTGATGTAGTACCTGACATCTTGCGGGGTTTCTGAAAGTAGAGATATCACAACAAGGCAGATACTAGCTCACGGGTGAGCCAAGTCAACACATCAGAACAGTGGAATAGGGACCTACATTGATGCCAAAACACACTTGGGGAGGTAATAGAGGAAAGGAAGGAGGAAGAATGTCGCTAGTAGAATCACGCCGGAGCAAACGAGAGACGCCATTTGCGTCCGTCCACCTACGTCACCGTTTATCTTCGACCTACAAAGAGCCACCTTAGTCGACGAGACTGATTACATGTCGGGTCTTATCTCGCACCTTGTAATCGAGCCATATGCAGGAAGTGTGCCTGGAATAAACGAACTAGCAATGTTTCCGGCTCCCAGCGCGACCAACTCGCGATTGGGACTTATGCCGTACCCAAATCTAGCTCCATTTTGCTTCGCTGAAACGATGCTGTCCAAATAACCTATGACCGCGATCATACTAACAGTGCACCATCAGACTCTGACGCTTTCAGCACGAAAAAGGAGGACTCACACTGCAGTCGACGTCGTGCGCCGTAGATATCGCACATTGGAAGACCGTAAAGGGAATCTGAAAAACGAAGCACCAGTATTTATAGGCACGGAGCCCAAGATATCCACGCCATCTTTGTCCCAACCGAACTCGGCCGACAGTACTGGATTGTAGGATGAACATCGAACTATGACAACGCATTCGATAGAAAGCACGTACTCGTTGAAACAATAACGACCACCAAGACCTCAGGTATCCGGTATATCCACCAATACTTGACAAAGCTCTGTTTCACTCTTCTCATGAAAATGAGCGTAAAGAGTGCGCCGAAGCTGATAGCTGCTGTAGTGATATTTGTATGACCTAGAAAGTGGTCTAGTATGAAAATGAACTTGTCCCATGTTGTTCCTGCCCCTGGATGAAGGGCGTGTTCCAAGGCGGTTAAGCCCAGCATAGGTATCAGCTGCTCACTAGACAGACGCGGATTAGATGGCTACCGAGACGCGGAAATATCTCTATACTCACATGGTGATGACAATCGCAATGGCCGTAATAAACCCTCTCAACAACGCCCGGCTCAGAACGACGTCGATGAACCCCAGTCTGAAAAGACCAAGAAGAAATGTTATGAGGCCGGCCTAACCTCGATGGTCAGAAGCATCCGTCTAGAACACACAAGTCCCTCCCACCTGAAACGTGATAATCGTCGCAACATGCAAACCCAGCCTATCGCCCTCCCCAGAATGTGGATCTGACAGGTCGTGCCGTATATCATCGACAGCCTGACCGAGCAGCAGACTCAGCGCAGCCTCAGGTGCTACATTCAGCTGCCTCGAAGTTCCGAGAAAGGCGTATACTATTCCAGGGAAAGAAGCTGCGAACTAGGAATAGTCAGCACCCCCTCTACCCGACCCCGAATAACTTAAAGACGCACCAACCCCGTGGTCGGATTCAGCTTTGCGAGCGAAGATGCATAACTGACAGATTGGGGTATGAGCATGCTGGCCACGGTCATCCCGGCGAGAACGTCGCCGCCGAGCCTGTTACAGTCATGAGAAGGATGGCCAAGCCTGGGAGGACGAAAGGGCGCACAACGATAAGGAATAGCTGGGGATCCAGGCTGTGGCTGGGATGTAATATTTTACTCGTTTCTTGAACTTGGTCCGATGGTC